CAGTACTAGAAAGGCAAGTGAATCTTTGTAAATTCAAGGCCAGCCTAGGCTAATTCTAGGACAGTCGGGGCTACACAGACAAACCCTATCTTGAAAAACCAATAAGAGGCTGGGCAGTGGTGGTGCAGGCCTTTAATCCCAGCACTAGGGAGACAGAGGCAGTCAGATCTCTGTGAGTTCAAGGCCAACCTGTTCTACAGAGTGAGTTCCAGGATAGGCTCCAAAAGCTATACAGAGAAACCCGGTCTCAAAAAACAAGATAAAATCCCAGCACTTAAAAACAACCCTATTACCTATTACGATTAAAGTCTCTTTATTCAAAAAGACACCAGGGCAAAGCACAGGCCAGAGCTAGGTTATAGAACCCAGCAAGCGCGGCCAGAACAAAAGGGGCCCGGGTCCCCACGTGCAGCCCCTTAAGAAGCTCCCTTACGTCACCCCGGCTTTCCTTCACCACGCCCTTATGGGCGAGTCCCGGGTCCACCTGGTACCTGTCCCAGGACTCTTGGGTGGGGCTAGGGTGTCTCCCTACAAAAAGCTGGGCGTTGGTGGCACATGCCTTTAATCCCAGCACTTGGGAGGCAGAGGCAGGGGGATCTCCGTGAGTTCGAGGCTAGCCTGGTCTCCAGAGCGAGTGCCAGATTAGGCTCCAAAGCTACAGAGAAACCTTGTCTCAAAAAATCAAAAAAAAAAAAAAAATCTGACTAAATCAGTGTGCATGTCAGCCATGCAATCAGTATCCACTGTGGGCCCCTTAGCCAAAGAGGCAGCATGCCCACCATGTCCTTGTCCCCACTGTATATCTAGGTAAAGGAGGTAACTGTTTTATAGAGACCTGTACCAGGTCCAAAGACAAGATGGTTTCAGGAGGAATCTGAACCCTAAGGCAGGCAGCCATTCTTACCCTTAGCTGGGCCCACAGTCTGTGAGGCCTCAAGACTGGAGAGGACAGAATGACCTGAAGGTGCAGGGTGGGAAGGCCCATGTAACCGAGCAGCTCTGATCTTGTCCCCTTAAGTCTTTGGGTGCCATACTATGCCTAGTCACTTGGCTGGAGGTAAGTCATATAGGGAACGTGAGCTGACCTTATGGCTTGTGACCATGTATTGGACTGGGAAACCACTACAACCAGGATGTGAAACAGTGTGGCGAAGAGATTCACAGAATGGACAGCTAAAGTTGGCCCTGATCCCAGGAGGGAGGGCATCCTGGCCACAAGTTATAGCTAAGGTGGGGGTGCGGTGCTTCCTGGAGCTAATAATGGCCTCTGGGAAAAGGGGTGTATGTAAAAAGGAACCCAGGGGAAACAAGACCCTCAGAAGTAGGAGCTGGGGTCATTGTCCAGTCCAAGGTCCCCAGGGCTCCCCATTGGCTGCCATGCTCTGCATCTTGCAGGAAATGCACAGGCAGAGAACACACGCAGGGGGACCCACTCCACAGATACCTGTGGTTGCTGCTGACAAGAGGCACAGAGTTCACACTGTGTGGATCAAACCGGAGTGAACATGGCACCCATGACTGAGCCACAAGTACTCATTCGCTATCAGAGTATCCAGCAGAAAGAGCCAAAGGGAGGTTAGATCACTTCATCCTGTATTTAAGATAACAGTTTCATCATAATTTTATCTGTGTGAGCAATTTGCATTCATTTGTTTGCTTTTGCTGCCCTTCACTGAGGGACTCTGGGAGGGGGGGAACTGCATCCTTGACCACACCCCTAGCCCTTCAAGGATTAGTAGGATGAAAGGAATTCATTTGAAGTTCATGAGAAAAAAGGATTCCCAAGGTTCCTGCAACTTGGGGTAACAGTGTAGAAGAGACCTCAGTCTTTGCAATGAATACAGCGAGGCAAGGGTAGAGGCATAGAGTCCTCCTATAAACTGTGGAAGGAGACTGGGCCAGGCAAATCGCTGGGAGTTTGAAACCAAGGTCTACAGAGCAAGTTCCAGGACAGTCCGGGAAACACAGTGAGTTTTAGGCTAGCCTTCATTAGCGAAGACTCTCTCAAATTGTCAAAACATGAACTTTTTAAAAAGTACAGCTTTAAAATGACCATGAAGTCATCAGGACATGGTGACGCACACCTGTAACCTCTATACTCCTCAGGCAGAATCAGAAGCCCTGCCTCAGAAAACAGCAGAAAAAAAAAGCAGGGTGGGAGGAGCCTGAGGGTCTGTCATGGTTCAGAATACTTGCTGCTCCAAACACCTTTAATCCCAGCACTCGGGAGGCAGAGGCAGGCGGATCTCTAGGAGTTCGAGACCAGCCTGGTCTATAAGAGGTAGTTCCAGGACAGCCTCCAAAGCCACAGAGAAACCCTGGGTGTGTGTGGGGGGGGGTGATACTTGCTGCTCTTGCAGAGGATCCAAGTTTGATTCCCAGCACCCATATGGAGTGGTTCACAACCACCTGTGACTTCAGGGAACCTGAGATCTTCTTGCCTCCCTGGACACCTGAACTCAGGTGGCACACAGACCTGCCTATAGGCCAAGCACCCACACTTAAATGATCCTGCAGATGCACCTGTGTGTGTGTGCACCTGTATGAGTGTGAACACCTGTGTGTGTGTGCACCTGTGTATGTGTGCAGATGTATGAGTGTGAGCACCTGTGTGTGTGCACCTGTATATGAGTGTGAACACCTGTGTATGTGTGTGCACCTGTGTATGAGTGTGAGCACCTGTGTGTGTGTACCTGTGTATGAGTGTGAGCACCTGTGTATGAGTATGTTCACCTGTATATGATGTGATCACCTATGTATCTGTGTGCACCTATGTATGAGTGTGAGCGCCTGTGTATGAGTGTGAACACCTGTGTGTGTGCACCTGTGTATGAGTGTGAACACCTGTGTGTGTGCACCTGTGTATGAATGTGTGTGCCTGTGTGCAGGAGCTCAGGTCCAGAGGCATCAGATGCCCTGGAGCTGGAGTGACAGGAACTGAGCTGGGTCCTCTGCAAGAGCAACAATGCTCTTTACCACTGAGCCGTCTCTCCAGCCCCCCTCCCCCTGACTTCCTTGAAGTATGAATTGCTTTAGCAAGCAAGAAAACAGGTGGGTAGAAAGAGGCCGTGAAATACAGACCATTTAAATATATATCTTTATAATAAATGTACATTTATCCAACTTTTAAATGACTTAATAATGACAAAGATGGCTATTACAAAACACAGTGGACAGAAGCATTTAAAAAGTTGGCTGTAGGGCCAGCCAGATGGCTCAGTGAGTAAAGACATTTGCCTCCAAGTCTCATTACCTGAATTCAGTCCCCAAAATGCACATGGTTAGCGAGCAGATCCTTGACAGTTGACCTCTGCATATGCTGTGGTACCTATGCCTCACCCCTAAATAAATGGGATTGTTTGAGACAGGGCTTCTCTGTGTAGCTCTAGCTGTCCTGGAACTTTGTACACCAGTCTGGCCTTGAACCCAGAGATCTGTCTGCCTCTGCATCCTGAGTGCTGGGGTTAAAGGCTTGTGCAAACAAGCCCCAGCCTGCCTGGGGTTTTTTGTTTGTTTGTTTGTTTAATTGGCTGTGGCTTGCCGGGCGTTGGTGGTGCACGCCTTTAATCCCAGCACTCGGGAGGCAGAGGCAGGCAGATCTCTGTGAGTTCGAGACCAGCCTGGTCTACAAGAGCTAGTTCCAGGACAGCCTCCAAAGCCACAGAGAAACCCTGTCTCGAAAAACCAAAAAAAAAAAAAAAATTAGCTGTGGCTTACATGCTGGCTCATCAGGTCTGTCATTCCAGCAGTGGGGAGACTAAGGCTGCCTCAAGTTGGAGGCCAGCCTGGTCTACATAGCAAGTTTCACTCTGCCAGGCTCAAGACAGAGACTCTATCTCAAAAATTAAAAACAAAAGCATGGCTGGAGTTCCCATCCAGCATGCCCAGTGCCCCAAGTCCCACATAAACCAGGTGTGGCAGGCCTCGGGGTCAGTTCAGGATCACAGCAAGCTAGAGAACAAAGAAGGCCCTGACTCAAAAAGTAAAAGGAGAGTTGGGGCTGCAGCTTAGCTGGTGGAGTGCTCTCACCCCTAAGGGAACACCTGGTTCCATCCCCAGAACCCAGGAAGACAGCTGGACTTAGAGAAAGGGTCTCTATGCTGTAGGTTACCCTCAATATTTGTGGCAATCCTGTCTCAGCACCCCTATCCCAGGATGATGGGGCTAGGGATGAGGGTTGGCCTGGGCTGTGCGCAGGCACTCTTCTTCTTTGCTGCACCAGGGTCACAGGAGAGTCAGCCCTGGGACAGTCTGGGGTCTAAAGCTCAGTATTTCACCAGGGGTGGATGGGAGCAGGACAGGGGGCTGAGAGACAACCCTGCAGCAGATGATGATGGAGAGGGAGGTAGTTGTGGGAGAACCAAGCAGTTGGACTGCAGACAGGGATCTAGTGAGGGTGCCCTATGCAACCTGTACCAAGATTCAGAGGCCAGAGAGGAGTGGGCACAGCATCAGGGACACTCCGATTTGGTAAGGCTTTCATGGACGTGGGAGTCAGGCTCCAGCTTCAGCATTAGCAGATGGAAGCCTCTGGAGTCAAAACCATGATTTATGTCACTTCTGCTACAGCCACACCCCACATATTCCAGCCCCCAAGTGTACCACCCACTCTTAAAGGGACCTTGCAGCTTCAGGAGTCAGTTCAGGGTGCTGACCTCTCTGCAGACAGGCCTAGGGACCCTATGGCTAGAAGAGACAAGTGGCTCAGCTTTGCAGAGGATATCCGCACTAGCTAGGTCCTGGGGAGATCACCTCAGCTCCCGGTTGGCACAGAACATGCCCTAGTCATGGCTCTGAGTTCCATTGGACCTGCTATTTCCTAATCTGGAGTGGGAGTTCATGCCATGTGTGCAGTGGGGATAAACTCCTGTAGAGCGAGGTGCTGCTGTAGTGCAGGCCTGGCTGGAGGACCTGAGCCTCCCTCACAGCCCCGAACCCCCCTGGTCTTTAGTAATCTCCCAGCCCCAGGAAGGCGCACTGGAGCCATGAAGAAGCCAGCGTAACCCTAAAATCTTAAACCTTTAATTAGTTTCCCTCTTTCCTTCTCTTTGCTTGCACGTCGCCTGCACATGGCTCATGGCCCATGGGGTGCCGAGTAGGGTCCTGGGCGCCGGGTCACATGCAGTCCCGGCAGAGGGCTGTACTGCTGAGGTCCCTGTGGCTTGGCTAGGTGCGTTGGCTGGGCAGCTCCTGGGAGATGAAGCGGCGCAGGCGCTCCAGGTACTGACTGTACAGCTCAATGTCGTTGTGCCCGGCTCCCTCCACCCACAGTGGCTCCACGGCCTTCGGGCAGCGCTCATACAGTGCCAGCCCATGTGAGAAGTCGATCACCTCGTCCTCCGTGCCGTGGATGATGAGCACCGGTGACGTAATCTTCGACACCTTCTCGATGCTGAGGGAGAACATGTCAGGCTGGGCTCCCCATCCCCCACCCCACCCCCGCACACCCCCAGTCCCCAACCCCTATGCTCACTTAGGGAAAGCATCGAAGCAGTAGGTCTTCTTGGTGTCAGGGAAGGCCACCCGCATGCCTGAGGTGAGAGGCGAGTGCAGGACCACCGCAGCACACTCATAGCGCGATGCCAGGTCCACCGTGGGCACTGTGCCAATGCTCTGGCCATAAAGGATGATGCTGTCGGGGCTGATGCCGTACCTGACGGACAGCAGCAGCAGGGTCAGCAGGCTGGGAGGTGGGCGGTCCCCAGAGCCCTGCCAGGATGAAGCTCCTTGGCTTTACCCTTAGTCCCTTTGACAGTGCCATAGTGAGGCAGGCTTTAGACCTAAGAGTCCAGATCCAAGTTCTGGTTCCCTCCTAACAATAGAGAGAAGGTGGGCTGGGCTGTCTCTTCCCAGTGCTGCCTCTCCACAAGTTTGGGTCCTGAGAATTTAGGAAACTATGCCCCTGGATGGCCTGGCCCAGTTTAGGGTCCCCTGAGTCCCTCCTGCCCAATTAGAAGCTTGCACAACACAGGCAGTGTCACTGCACAGGTCCTGGGAGCCAGCCCATTCCTAGCTTCCCGTGCGGCCCCTCCACCCCAGCAGATCACTGTGGCCACTTACCCTAGGCTGGCCTAGTGGCTCCCAGACTGCAGGCCCTGCCAGAGTTCCCACCTGTCTGTCACAGGCAAGCCTCTGCAGGACCCTCCCTGATCCCAGACAAGAGCTGGACCACCTAGGGGCAATCTGTACTGCTCCCATGTGCTGACCGAGACCCACAAGTTTTGCCTGCCAGCACTATCAACAGCTCAGGCCTAAGCTCCTCCCACCATGGGGGAACAAACCCTTTATAAGAGACTCCCCCACATCCCCTGAGGTTTAGCTATGGTATTGAGAGGTTCCTGGGGGTCAGTGCTGTGGTGGAACAAATGGACAAAGCTCAGACCACTGCAGTGACTCTCCAGGCTGCTGGACAGTGTCAACAGGGGGAAGCCATCCCAGAGTACAGGCATCTGTGGCACAGGGGAGTGGCACTCAGACAGGTCCCCAGTGCCAGCACCAGTAGTGCCAGCGGACCCAGCCCGGTGATACCTGGCACATCTCCTGGGTAACCAGGGTCCCCAGGGCTGTCAGCGTCTCAGCACCACATGGGACCTTAATGACCAGGTTGGGGGCCTCCAGAACTAGAGATGGTTGGCCTCTTCTACACCTCACTGCATGGGCCCTGCTCTATGAGGGAGCAAAAGGAGCCCTTGTGAGGTGGGGTGAGGTTGGGATGACCAGGATATAGGGTGTGACAGAGGTCTGGAGTGAAGGCTGGTGGTCTAGACCTACTGACTGCCATCACTTGGGCACCCTCTGGCCCAGCTTGCTGGCTCAACTGCCACCTGCCACAGAGCAAGTTAAGCTGATGGCACAGAGTCCTAGGATCCCCTAGTTCTTGGGCTAGGCCTCAATGGCTGTCTCCTAGTCCCAGTTGTCCTCTGTTCCCCCCAGGCCAAGTGAAGGAACTTCCCTTTTCAGGTGGACATCAAGGACCAACGACAGTTGTCTTCTGGGCCACAGGTGCCTATTCCCTCTGATCCCAACTGGCTTTGATGGTTCCCCCACACCCATGCCCTAGGGGCCAGGGTCCTCACCTGGTGCGAAGGGCCTGCCAGGCGGCATCAATGTCAGCATAGAGATTCTTCTCCGAGGGCCGGCCAGAGCTGATGCCGTAGCCCGAGTAGTCATAGGAGAAGATGTTGCAGCCGATGCGCGTGCCCAGGCCCACGTAGAAGCTGCACATCTGGCCCAGATCCACCGCGTTGCCGTGCGAGAAGAGAACCGTGTACCTGGCAGTGGGGACCAGAGGGGCGCAGGCACAGGCTGACCCCCACCCTGATGCATTCACAGTGTCATCTGCTGGGAACCACATGGGACAGCCCAGCTCCACTGCTGGGCTCCCAGAGTGGGAGGCAGTATTGGCTGGGGATGGGCTTCCAGAGTTTTTCAGTGCTGCAGCCCTGGGTGTGGTCAGCCAGCAGGCTTCCCATCTACAGGGGATAACAGGACCTATTGATGGCCATGTTTATGGCGATGTGTACATTCATTCCTCGGTGCTGGGAACTGTACTGAGAAAGCCTGCTCCCGTGCTGCCTTCACGAATGCATGCTCTATTGCTAGCGGGAGGACTGAGCCCTATCCCTGGCCACCAGCAAAATCTTTTTTTGTTTGTTTTTCAAGACAGGGTTTCTCTGTGTAGCTTTGGAGCCTGTCCTGGCACTCACTCTGTAGACCAGCCTGGTCTTGAACTCACAGAGATCCCCCTGCCTCTGCCTCCGGAGTGCTGGGATTAAAGGCATGCACCACCCACGCAGGGCAACCAGCAAAATCTTAAGGCCCATTCTGTTCCCAGTTGGCCTCTGGCCAATCCAGAGAGTCCAATAACAAACAAGTGCCTGCACCACGTCAAGGCCGTGCACTTGAATGGCCTTGCCCAGGTGGCTTCCTGAAGCACCTGCCTAGCTCCTGAGTCAAAGGCTCACCCTTTGGACTCTGGACTCCGGACTCCACTTGAGAAGCTGTCACCCCTCTACCTCACCCTCTGGTGGGGGCCTGAAATCAAGAACCTGAGAGAGGGTCTCCTGTCCTTTACAAGAGGGGTAAGGTGGGCTGGAAGGCAGGGCAGTGCAGCGCCCAGGCATCCCTGCGGCGAGCCCTGAGGCCCCGGCTCACCTGGCACCGGGAACGCAGCGCACATACATGCAGGCAATGCGGTTGGCGCGCGCGCTCTTGGTCAGGAAAACCTCGATGGTGTCCAGCTCGCGCTGGCCGTACTGGAAGTCAGCACGCTCTGTCAGGTGGATCTTCCAGCGCCCGGGGGTGACGGCTGAGGTCCGCAGGGGACCCGAGGGGGCTGCGCCGGCCCCACCGGGCCCAGGCTCTGGTTCGGGTACCAGTGAGTAGGTGGGCTCAGGAGGCAGGAAGGCGAGCTTGGCAGCGATGCGGCCCGGGCAGGGCGGGCAGCAGAAGAGGCAGCAGAGCTCGCTCACCGACAGGCCGTTCATGGCGGGCACGGGGCCCGCGCTGGGCCAGGGGAGGGGCGGGAGTGCTTTGAGACACCAGCAGCGGGCGGCCAGGCTCGCGGGCCGCACACCTCAGTCCAGTTAGGAGGCCGCGGCCTGGCCCCATCGTGGTCCAAGGCGAACCCTCGGGAGCCTCGCAGCCACAGGTCTCCATGCCGTGCAGTGGGACACCCTGCAGGGAACACCGAGATGTGGGTTCCCTCTAGAAAGCTAGGGTGGAAACAAGTGCCAGCCGATGCTAGGCAGAGAGAAAGGTGTGTCCCCACATCCACGGTCTATCTTGTTCCTCTTAGTTGGCCCACAGCCCTAGCTCACCCTGCTCACCTCTCTCGTGCCTCTTGCTATTCTAGCACTCCCAGTCCTATGCCCAGACCTTCTGCCTGCCCAGCAGTGTCTCCCTCAATCCTTTAAGGGTTACATCCTCCAGGAACAGGTCTTGAGTTGAGGAAACCCAAAGGCTCCCAGGCTCCCTCCCACACAGGGGGATGAGCCAGGGGGCACCACCGGGCCTTGGAGCATAGAGACAGAGCTCAGGGGAGGAAGCAGACACAAAGACCGGGAACAAGGACAGGATGCATCTCAGACACAGGGTTTGTCCCTGTGCTTGCAGGCAGCCTGATTGCCTGGGGTCAGTTCAGCTGGGGCCTCCTGCAGCTGCAATCTCAGGGTTCAGTCGCCCAACCTCCTGGGTTTGGGTTCTCTGCACCCACAAATGTGGAGACTGCTTGCCTCACAGAGGCAGCAAACCACAGGAGGCGGTTAAGTATCCAATGGACACTCAGATGCTCCATTTCTGCAGGACACCCTAAGATGTGTTCAACTGACACTAAAGCCACTACCATTGTGTCCAGAGCTGCCCAAAAGACAGACACAGAGACCTTTCCAGAAAAGCCCACCACTAACCATGTCTGCCATCTCTTACTGCCTTGAGGAAGCAGGAGACACCACAGTTCAACTTTAACAGAATAAATATCTATGCACACCTGGGTTTTAGGTCACGGCATATAAATCCACAGGACAGAGGAACACATAACACTCAAGCAACTGTGGGCCCACAGACAACTCTCTGCTGCCTGTGGACCTGAGGTGTGCAGCCTAGAGCTGAGTAGAGTTATGCCCAGTCCATGACAATTCAGGGGCACACTGAGAGAAGAGATGTGACAGCCAGAACAGGAACAAAGACAGCGTCAAGAAATCCCCAACTCCTGCCCAGGTCTACAGAGTTCCATGACAGCCAGAACTACACAGAGAAACCCTGTCTTGAAAAACAAACAAGAAATCTCCAGCTCCTAGGTGACAATTCTCAGATGCACCTGAACCTGTCTCTAAGAAACATCAGGCCATGTCTGTAACCAGGAGCACTCCTAACTTGGAGTAGGTAGAGACCAGGAAGACACCAGGGCCACATTTGTAACGCAGAGCACTCCTAGCAAGCAGTCCAGGACCCTGAATAGCCCAGAACAGCCCTGTAAGGAATGACCCTGCCAAATAACCACAAGGTCAATGGTTAGAAACATCAGCTTTATAGTCCAGGCCTCATCATGGAATACCCTGGAACACCCCTTAGTGAGGGAGACTTTGGAGGATTTGCAGTCTGGGAAGAGGAAGCCCTGACCATGCTGGAGAAGAGCAAGGTGAGACAGGAGCTTTACTACCAAGGCCAGAAAAGCAGATGCTGTCACTGACACTGCCTCCCCAGTCCATCCCCAAGGGTCCACCTGCCAGTCCAACCTGAACCTTTCCCTACTGCACCCCAGCCTCTGCCTGGGGCGCATCTCAGCCAACATCACCCTTTGCCAGGCTGTTCGCCTGCCTAGCTACTCTGACACCTCCTTCTGCAGCACACACCAATCGAGTGGCCTCCCTTTTAGGGGTGTCTTTTTCTCCCTATTCAAAGACCACATTCCCAGGCACAGCCTATCAGAGTGCAACCTCTGGGGTTTCATCTTACAGTATTCTTTCTAGACAAGTCAAACAAGGGTAGGCCTCAGCTTCCCTCCTGAGTCCTCTACATGGTGAGGACCCCACATATTCCTTCTTCTGCAGTTAAACAGATCTCCACCCTACAACAAGAGACTCCATGGGGGCAGGGCCAGCAGGACCAGTAAGCACCAGCTTCGCCAGCTGAGAAAGTTTTAGGAGAAAGACATAAGCCTCCAGGATCTGCCAGTGTTACAATGGAGGGGACAGCATGTAGGAACTCAGTCACAGATGGGTGCCACTGGGTAGGACAAGCCAAGATATTTCACTCACTGCTACTCAAAATCCCAAGTATTGCAATCACAATCATGAAACCAGGTCCTGGTGTTACAAGCACCCAGTCTACTGTAAAGGCTCTAGGGCGACCTACATATGCCTGCCTGCACCGGCACGTCTCACCCAGCCAGTCTGGGTAAGGAGGCAACCGCCTGACACAGCACAAGCTCAAGAATGCACAGAATGGAGACAGGTTGATGGAGATGGCTCAGCTGGTAAAGGCACTTGCTACCAAGTCTAAAGAACCGAGCTAGACCATGAGGACCTACATAGTGGGAGTGACACCAGAAGGCTGGCCTCTGGCCTCTGCATGGGCGCACACATGTGAAAAGGGAAATAGCCAAGTGACAAAGGACGAAAGAGGTAAACCCTGGCGGCGAGAGAGGATTCGGAAAACCTGCTAAAAGGGCTCCCAGGGTGAAAAGGGCCGGCTCAACCTGCACCCTCAGGCTCTGCTGCAGAGTGAGGACTTCATCGTGGGGGTGATGGGGAACCATGCAGGAGTCCTGGGCTGCATAAGGAAAGCCTGATGTGGGTCCCAGCGGGCCGGAAGACACCAATCATGGCACAGAGGTGGCCGGCGAGTGTCAGCAGGGAGGCGGAGGTGGTGTGGGATAGGGACAAGTTCCGGAGATGGCTCCGGGTCTGCGGCTGAGCCCGGGCGTTTCTTGGAGCACAGCCGCGTCCTGAGGAGGTTAAGCGATTGCTCCAGGATCGCTGCCCGGGGAGATGGGGACGCCAAGGACAGGATGGGTGCTCTGATGACGCTGGCATCCCCGGAGGACGCCCAGGTGT